GCTGCGCAGGGCTTGAAGCGGCTTAGTAGAACCGGAGCAACGTACTGACGGGGCTCAGACTGCGGGACTTCAACGGCATCTTCACGCCGTACCATCCATGCCCGCCTTTTGGAAGTACTGGATGTACTACGTCAACCCCTCGACCTGGTTCTCGCGCGGCGTCCTCTCCGCCGTCCTCCCCGCCGTCGCCGTCCGCTGCGCCCCCGCCGAGCTCGCCCGCTTCGACCCCCCGCCGGGCTCGACGTGCGGCGACTACGCCGGCGGCTTCGTCGCGTCCGTCGCCGGCGCCGGCTACCTCGAGGACCCGTCCGCGACGTCCGACTGCGGCTTCTGCCCGTACAACGACGGCGGCGAGTACATGGCCGGCCTCAACGTGCGGGCGGGCGACAAGTGGCCTGCTTTCGGCATCATGGTGGCGTTTGCCGTGGCCAACTGGGCGCTCGTGTACTTGTTTGTGTACGCCTTCCGGGTGAGGGGGTGGACCTTTGGGCTCGGGGGCTTGTCGGGGCGGGTTGCGGCTGTCAAGGCGCGGGTTGTGCGCGGGAGGGGCCAGGAGGGGGAAGAGAAGTCCGAGGCTTGATTTGGAGTGTGGAGAAGACGGGGTTGCCCGGAGCAACATTGATGAAGAATAGATCATACCCTTGCGAGACGTAGACCGTATAGAATAGAAAGGAGCATTATATGTACCCAAACACGCCCCATGTGATTTATGCCTTGGGAATAAATAGTGTACAAGTGAGGATGGTCGCAGCCCGATGATGCGCACATGGCTTCAGTGCAGGCCTCGCCCTCAGTGGCAGGCCTTGCCGTACTTGCGCAGGCGCAGGTAGTTGTAGGGCAGCGGCGCGAGGAAGCCGGCGCCCATGGCGACGACGGCGGCAACCCAAAAGGCAGGGTCGTCAAAGCGGACCTCGCCGCCCGTCAGGTGAAAGTCGACGGTGTTGGAGGCCGCCTCCATGGTCAGCATGGAGATGAGGCTCATGCCGGCGGAGGTCCGGGCGGCGACGCCCCAGGAGAGCCTGTCGCGGCCGAGGCGCAGGAGGACCGTCTCGAGGGTCATGGACGAGGCGAGGCCGCTGGCCACTGGGAACGGGGGGCAGTCAGCAGTGTTGGTCACTTCTCAGGAGGCTGCAGGGTGTCGAGGCATACTCGCAATGGCCATGATGGCGCCGGTGCCGAGCTCGGGGTGGAAGGACTGGAGGAACCACATGGCGGAGAAGTCGCCAAAGGTGCAGCCGACGAGACAGCGTGTTGTGTTGAGGCCCGCCCTGCGCCATGTTGAAGGGGACGACCAGAAGTCCAGTGACGTCGGTGATGGTGTGGACTTGGGACATGGTTTGGGGGTGCATGATGAAGGTGACGGTGAGGTGGGTGACGACGCATGCGAAGACGACTTGGTGCAGGCTGCTCTGTGACGTGATGCCATCGGGAGGACGACACTGCCGATGCGGCTCGTCCCATGCCTAGACCAGCATCGAGGCGACATCGTGCTAGTTCTCGGGAAGGCCATGGCGTCTCCTCAATGTTGGTCCTAGCCGCGTCGAGCCGTGCTGAAGCGTGGGAGGTATGCGGTAGATGGGTGCTCCTTGATCTGGACAGCGAGATGAAGTCGTGAGATGAGCAAGTTTCGCTGCTTCATGTCGTTGTGATTGGTTTCAAAATGGCTGATTGTGATTGGCCAAAAAGGCATAGAGGCCGTCTTTATTAACCAATAGGACCACTCACATCAGACCTCACGATATAGACACGCCTCGACCCCTTTAGGACCCCTTGAGTGTAGAGGTCTTCGAACTCGGCTCCAAATGTTTCACTCACAACCTACTGTCCGTGGGAACATGTTGACATACTTTATTTGAAGTAATGTAGAGTCATGTTAAGACACCAGTTCAATGTAATGCGCCACAGCTTTGCCACGCATCACTTTTGCTGGCATGTGGCTTTCTTTTGCCGCAGTGAAGCACTGGCAGGCAGATCCTCACAGTGTTCGAGTAGTCAGACATGCGGAAAGCTCCATGTCCGTCTTGGGCGTGTTTCGGGGCCTAGGAAAACGTCTCAGTTCCCCGAGTTCCGATTCCGAGGTGGCGGGGCGAGAGCAAACTTGCTGTTTGGTTTTGCCTGTAATGGTCACAACCCCCCGGTTTTTGCGTTACACATGAGCTTGCAAGCCGCATGGAATCCTCGTAGGCAAGAGTGATGCCTTCACAAGAGCCCAGCGGTGTGACGCGACTTGACGAAAGCAAGCATCCTTGCCGGAACACTCCTGGAAGCATCTAGCATGGACGAAGGGTATTCTTGATCGTACGTGCCACAGCAGAGGTTTACTGCAAGTGTGTTCAATACCACTAAACTCCCCAGAGCGCTACAGATCATCACTCGAGCTGTCATCGTGACGCGCCGATCCGAGCAGGGCCGAGCCGCAGATGGCGCTCAGACTAGGCCCAGATTCAGACTCTGAAGAAACGCCTACCGGGGAGCCTGCCGGAAGCGCCCAATATTGTTGAAGTCTCTCGATCCCATACAGACGCGAAGGAACACGCCCGCTGGGCAAGATCTGCCTCAAAAATCCAGTGTCTTGACGTCTTCATTCCCGTTGTGAAGGCGACAATGACAGGGCGTCTCGTCCCACTGGTTCCTTTCCCATGCTGCAGGCCCGGCCTGTGTCCGGTCGACGCGGGCGTGTATCGTGATTCGACCAGACTTTTGTGCAAGGTCTTTCAACTTAAACTTTCTGGCCATTTATCCACATCTCAAGGTTCTCCTAGTACGGCACTCCACATTGGCTTGTGACGGTACTGGGGATTGTCCTGCTGCTGCGGCCGAGACAGTGACTCACGCCCCATCCAAAGATCGACACAAGGCTTGGAACACATGACTACTACGCAAACACGTGCGGCGTATTGCCCGTACGGAGGCGTCTCTGGTGTCTCCCCCGGGCTTGTTTAACGTTACACGAGATTATTCAAGGTACCGCATCAGGTGCCGAATTCTACACCACGCGGCATTGGAGTTGTGAGGTGAACCAAAACAAATTGTATTCCGAATTGACACAAGCGACAACTGCCTGAGAATGCTCCGATAAATTGTGTTTTATCACTCAAATGAGTGGCGTCACCTAACCTCAGTGAGACTGGCATGCGCGTATCTCGCCAGCCCTCGTATTTCACCACTTGGCGAGCTTCTGCTACGGCCAGGAGGCTCTTCAAAGCGTCAACAAAACTCTGGCAGACCTCATCTGAGACTCCAGCGCGCATCACTATCCGCAAAACTAAGACCTCCATGCCTGCGATAGGTAGCTTGCAGCCTGGAAATTGGATACTCATTAGTCTGCACATCGTTCGCGGATGGACACCAAAAACTTACAAGGAACACTGAAACCCCGCTGCATCAAGCCATGGCTTATCCATTGCTCGTCGAGTCCTGGAAATTGACGCTTAACTCCTGGTCGAAGGCGGAAAACTACCAGGGGCAGACCGCTGCTACGGCTTGCCGCTGTTGCTTCTTGCTGGCTCTTGTTGGCCGCCGAGTCGAGAGGGCCCCGGTACACGCCGTCGACGCATTCGAATAACCCTGTTTTCTCAAGGAGACGACCCAGGTCGACCGCGCGCTGGAAAGCTTCTTTGATAATCCTCTCGTAGCCGAGGCGACCCAGCCGGGCCAAGTGATAGTACTGCAGGACCACGCCGTGGGCTGGCTGCGAGTAACTCAACGTGACCGATTCGTTTTGCCCCATCAGGTAGTCAGAGCTGTGTACTATGCTCTCAGGGAGACACGTCCGGTCACGCCACAGGACCCAGCCAACGGACGCTGTGGCCAGCCCGAACTTGTGTCCGGAAGCGTTGATCGAAGCAGCGCGCGGATTGGAAAAGTCCCTGTACCGAAGTCAACCTCAGTCTCTCAGGGCGCAGGACTGTTGTCTTACCATTGCGTACAGCCCCCATTCTTTCCGAGAAATGGTGCCACAAAGCCCCCGCTCGCTGCGTCAACGTGGATCATGATGTTGCGGCCGGTCGAGGCCTCGTGCTTGTCGAGCATGGCGCCAACATCCTTGACGGGATCGAAATGACCGGTGTATGTGCTGCCCATGATGAGCACGATACCGACTGATTGAGGTCAGCGTATGACGAGTTGATCAAGTACCATTGGGGGCACTCAAACTCACTTGTGCCGTCATCGATCAGCGCCTCCAGCTTGGAGGGATCAACCACAAAGCTACTCGATGCGCTGACCTGGAGCGATCGGACTTGGACGTCGCAGGCGGAAGCACCGTTGGGGACGGCCACGTGTGCGTGGCTCCCAACGATGATGTTGGGCTCGCGCGGGGTGTCTCGATCTGTGCGGCCCGCCATCCACCTCTTCTTCATGGCAAGGATGCCGAGAAAGATGGCTTCTGAACTGCCGGACACTGCAGATCCTACGGGAGCGCCAGCTGCTGAGACGCCCCACAAGTCGCCCAGAATGGAGACGCATCGGGAATGCAATCTTGACACCAGGTCAGCCAGGCCAAGGGGAGTGCTAGCGTCAGAAAGGTAACGCCTACTCGTCGATACCAGGGTACTCGTGGCGACAAGCCAAGTTCTTGGCGTAGTTCTCGAGCAGCAACTGTTCGCCGTGGCTATCCAGCGCAGTCGTGACAAAGCTGAACGGATAAGTACTGATAACATAAAATAGGCATGCCGTGGGAGTCATGCGCCCAAAGCGGAGCACGTACCTTCCAAGGTTATGATGAGGCTTCGTGTCAGGTTTCAGTAATCGTCTGATGTCGGAGGCAGCAGTATCTGGTGCAATCTCGTGCCCCAACCTTCCGTACGGAAGCACGTCAAGCGATGGTGAAGAACGAATATCGGTGAGGGACCCCATGACCAAATCTTGAGAAAGAAAGCGGTATTGAGATCACAATTTTTCGAGAGCTAAGTCACGGCATAATCACTGCTGACGCTCGGGCATTTATCAGTTTCTGCTCTCGCGCAGATTTCCCATCATCCTCAACAACGAAGATGCCGTTGGAGTCATCCTTCGACGCCACCATACGGCGTGATGAGGAACAGGAAAGAGAGATCGACAACATGGTTGTCTTTGGATGGATTCTTGGACAACACGCAATCCAGCTAGGCATGTGTCTTTCCTGCGAGGAAGATTCAACTGGCCAAAGCATGTATTGAGCCACACCTACCGACACCAACATAATGTCGAGGGTGGCAAGTTCATGTCTCATGTGTGTGAAAATTCACGCTCGCCATGAGTGAAATGAGAAATCAATGTCATTTAATACCAAAGAGCACGGGCGGGGGAGACGATTCTCATCATTTGGACTTGGAGGTCTCTGTTATTCTGAATCATGATGATTCAACGGCGTTCCTTTGATCTAAATGCCGATATCCTGCCGAATGTGAAAGTTCCGGAGGGACCCATGATTCCGGTGTTTGAGGTCTTGAGGGCAAAGAACGCCAGGGTGCCGAGGGCGACTCTCTTTCCATAGCCGGTGAGTCTGTCTCGAATCCTGATCTCACTCAGCATTAACCAATGAGAATGTCGTTGGATGGAAAGCCGATTATAAGGACAAAAGGTGATGACAGAGTGTCTTTCATGGTAAGACCGTGTATCAGCCAAGGTCAGTGATCGAGGCGGCGCCTGTAAAGTACATATCCCTCTCCCCGCCAGCTCCGTTCATCCGCAGATTACTCCCTCAATTTATTTCCCAACCACCAGAATCACAGTTTTTTATTATCGATATCATCACTGGAGCAATATTCTCAACATGGTCAGACGTCTGATGAACAGCGGCGACACCGTGGTTCTTGATCCTCGCGCCAAGCCACATGTAGCATCGCCAACCTCAGACGGTTGCGATGCTCGACTGGAGGCTGGTGGCCGAAACACTCAATATTTTGATGTTGAGCTCAAGCTCGAGCCTCACAGTTCCAGCGAAATCAACGCCACAGGAGTTGTGATATGGTTGCTGTCGCTTTACCACATGACGGGGAAAAGCGAGGTCGCTCTTGATTTATGCAACAAGACGACATCCGATCTTATCGCTGTAGACTCGCGTCGGAGTATTGGGATGACCCTTGAGCCATGTGCCACCCCAAAAACTATCCGCCAGGCGATCCGCAGCGGCGCTGGCCAAGATGACATCTGCCTTACCAACGAATGCCAGTCGAACTCTGAGGATTGTGTACACACACTTGTTTTAGCAAAAGACTTCTCGGAAATAAGTTCATATGAGCTGCAACAGGTCTGTATAGCCCAGATCAAGTGGTTTATGGTGTAATTTGCTGACATTATCGACTTTCAGGACCAGGAGTCTCGCGTGCACCTCTGCCATGACAAAGGCGTCATGACATTGCGCATAGAATGGGCAGATGGCTTGCAGGACCGAGACGAGATGATTTCGATAATTGAGCGAGTCGCAACCCATGTTTTCTCCCACCACGGCGCTCCGATTAGTTCGATGCAAAGTCCTGCGTCTGGTCAATTACGGCTCGCCAGTCTTGATCCTCCACCTCCTGTTTG